TATGGGGCTCTGGTAGCTTAGTGGTAAGAATCTGCACTGTAATCGCTAAGGCACGTGGTTCGAATCCACTAGCGGTTCTGCAGGAAAAAGATGGGTAATCTCCTGTGTGATTAAGTGCTTCTAACTTAAAGGTCTGCAATGAGTTGACTTGACAGCACACAAGAACAACAACAACATGGGGATTCTTTCTCGGGTGATAAAAAACATTCTGAAATTGACTATGGTGATGGTGGTGGTGGTGTTATTATAGGCCATTGAATTACCTGTGACTCATAGGTGGCACTATGTACAACAGCCCTAAACCCTGTTCTATCCTATGCCAATCTTGTTGTCTCTGACACAAATAGCCCCATTACCCAGTCACTGAATCAATCCATCTCATCGAGGGTCTTCCTCTCCTGCACTGTTCCTCCAGCCTCCTAAGAATGACATCTCTCTCCAAGGACTGTCCCTCATTGCAACACATCCAAAGTATGTAAGATGAAGCTTCAGAATCCTTGCCTCCAAGGAGCAGTTTGGCTTCATCCTCTCCAGGATGAACGTGTTTGCCATCCTAGTAGTCCATGGTATATTGGATATTCTTCTCCAGCACCACAACACAAAGGCATCAATTCTTCTATCATCTCTAGTCATTGTTCAGCTCTCTGATGCATAGAAAGTGATTGCAAAGATCATGGCCTGTATCAGGTGCACCTTGGTCTTCAGATTGATATCACTGCTCTTCAGTACTCTGGATAGGTTTCTGACAACAGACTTTCCCAATGCAATACGTCTTTTAATTTCCTGGCTGCTGAAGCCAAGTGTTGATTGTGGAGCCAAGCAAACTAAAGCTGTTTACAATCTCAATCTCTTCACTATCTATCATGATGCTCCCATTGACTCAGTGATGAGAATCTTTGTTTTCTTGATATTGAGCCTCAATCCATACTGAAGGCTGCAGTCTGTGACCTTCTGTAGCAAGCGCTTCAGGTCCTCCTCAGTTTCAGCAAGCAGGGTTGTATCATCTGCATAATGCAGGTTGCTGATGAATCTTCCTTCAATCCTGATGCCACATTCCTCCTCATAGAGTCCAGCTTCCTGCAAATCTATTATATGTTCTGCATATGGATTGAAAAGGTATGGTGATTGTAGCAAATTAAATATACTTGAAATAAACTTGAAATGGGTAAATTACATGGTGTGCAATTTTGATCTCAATAAAATCGTTAAAACTGATGGGTTAATTTCATATGCTTTTAGGGTTTTACTTAAAAGCATATTTGGCTGATCTTTATTCTTTTGCATATGGATGTTCAATATTCGGTTGTTCTAATAATATTGAGATTGTCCTCTCCCCACTGAAAACCTTAGAAGCCCTGTCAAAATCAATTGATTACAGATAGGAAGGTTTCTTTATACTCTTTTTTAAAATAGAAAAATAAATTTTTATTTTATATTGCTTTGCTTAAAAAGTTTGTATACATTGTGTTTCACACTATCCTTCATTCACATTGTGTTTCATAAATAGTTCTCAATTATACTTTATCAAATTATTCAACATTGAACTATGCCCACCATTAGCCTATCTTTAGTTTTTTAAAAGAATCTTTCCATTCAATTTTAAATTCTTTTGCCTTCCTACCATTTGCTTTAATATAAAAATTTAAGAGATATATATTGAAGTATTCCTTTTAAAAATAAAGTACTCCACAAATACACCACTGCTGCTGTTAGATGCAGTGGAAGGTGACTTTATTTCTTAAATCCATTGTAAAATCAGATTAGGAAGGTACAAGTGGCGACCTCACACACACAGACCAAAATGCTCCCTGACAAAGACACCACCCATGACTCCTTGTGGACGGGACCACTGTGGTCCACAGGGCTTCCGTAGGCTGATTTGCAGCTGCCGACAGCTGGCCTTTATCTAGTAGTCTATTAGTCTGGAAGTGTGACTGAAACCTCATCAGCATAATTAGAGGTGAATCACCAACTTCTAATTACATTAAGCCTACACTGTCTCCACTTAGAAATCTAAGAAATTCTTAGCTGACAAGGCAGTCTACAGACAGAGGAAGAAGAAACCATCATTGCACAGGGGAGGAAGCAGACATGAACAGCGACATCTCACCAAAAGACGTAGAGACATAAGGACATGCAAATTCAGGATTTTGTGACACCCGCCCCCTATTTGGTTTGCCTTCTCTCTTAATAATTTTTAAAATAAGCTATCTGGAAAATACCAGTTGTTGTTGTTATGTGCCACCAAGTTACTTGTGACTCATAGTGACCCTATGTACAACAGCCCTAAACCCTGCTCTATCCTGTGCCAATCTTGTTGTCTCTGACACAAATACCCCCATTACCTCATTCACTGAATCAATTCATCTCATCGAGGGTCTTCCTCTCCTGTGCTGTCCCTCCAGCCTCCCAAGCATGATGTTCCTCTCCAAGGCCTAGTTCCTCCTTGCAACACGTCCAAAGTATGTCAGATGAAGCTTCAGAATCCTTGCCTTCAAGGAGCAACCTGGCTTCATCCTCTCCAGGACAAACCTGTTCGTTCTCTTAGTAGTCCATGGTATATTCAATACTCTTCTCCACACCACAGCTCAAAGGCATCAATTCTCCTTCTATCCTCCATGGTCATTGTTCAGCTCTCTGATGCATAGCAAGTGACTGCAAAGACCACGGCCTGTATCAGCCACTCCTTAAGTCTCCAGAGCGACATTGTTACTCTTGAGTACTTCAGAGAGATCTCTAACTGTAGACTTTGCCATTGCAATATGTCTTTTAATTTCCTGGATACTGGTGCCAAGAGTGTTGACTGTGGAGCCAAGCAAACTAAAGCTGTTAACAATCTCAATCTCTTCACCATCCATCATGATGTGCTACCAATCAGCCCAGTGGTAAGAATCTTTGTTTTACTGATATTGAGCATCAATCCATAATGAAAGCTGCAGTCCCTGACCTTCTGCAGCAAGCGTTTCAGGTCCTCCTTAGTTTCAGTAAGCAGGGTTGTGTCATCTGCATAACGCAGATTGTTGATGAGTCTTCCTCCAATCCTGATGCCACACTTCTCCACATAGAGCCCAACCTCCTGGATAATTTGTTCTTCATTAAATTGAAAAGGTATGGAGATAGGATGCATCCCTGGCGTACGCCCTTCCTAATTTTGAACCATGCAGTGTTTCCTTGCTCTGTTCTGACAACTGCCTCCTGATCCAAGTAAAGGTTTCGCATTAGCATAATCAAGTGTTCTGGGATTCCCATTCTTCTCAGAGTCAGCCATAGTTTGTTGTCGTCCACACAGTCAAATGCTTTTGCATTCTAAATTGTTCAGTAAACAAAGTGAAAACTCAATGTTTTCTACTCAACATTGTCACGAGATGTATGCATTATTCACCTTGTGAGTTAAGATGACAGAGCCTATGACAAAGTAGAGGAAGAGTATACTAAAATATAAACTCATAGATAAGGATCAAAGTTAGAGTAATGAAAGAAAAGGTTGGCATTGGTTGGTGGTAGCTTTTTTAAAGAGGTTGTATTTATAAAGAAAGAAGGCTGCATTTAAGTACCGGGGATGAATACAAGGAGCTTTAGTGGCACAATGGTTAAATACTTGGCTGTTAACTGAAAGGGCAGGTTTTGAAGCCACCGAGTGCTCGAGGGGACAAACACTGGGCAGAGAGCATCCACCTTCCACAAAGAGGCGGTGAGAACATCTGGCGCAGTTCCACTCTGTCTGCTGTAGCCGCTATGTGTTACAGCCAACTTGCTGTAAACAGGTTGACTGTTGTTATTTACTTGTGAAAACACGGAGGCCAGATAGTGCAGTTGTTAATGCACTAGCGGCTAACTTAAAGGCCTATTAGTAACCTCCAGGTGCTCCATGAGAGGAAGGGGTGGCAGTATGTCTCCATAAATATTAACAGTCTGGAAACTCAGAGGCAGTTCCACTGTCCCACAGGGCCACCAGGAGCAGCAACAAATTCAATGGGAATTGGTGTCAGAGGTTTTGGTGTAAAATCATGAATAAAAAATGTCTCCATTTCTGAGCTATTTATTATAGTAAAATTTTAAGAGCATCCAAAAAAAAGTGGTTAAGTCAGTTTTGGCACATTTATACAGGAGAACACTGCAGATCCACTTAGGTTTGTCTCTTGAATCCTGTGCATTGATTGAAGTCTAGTGTGTCTGTGCAAATCTATTATATCTATGCATGTTCACAGTGCAACAGAACATGCTAAGAATTAAAGAACAGTACTACTTTGAGATATCATCTCACCTCAGCAACATTTGCAAAATTCAACAGGACAGCAAACAACATATGCTGGTGAGGTTATGAAGAGATTGGAATGCTCAAAGACTACTGGTAGAAATATAAAATGGTACAACCACTATGGAAAGCAGTCTGGCATTTACTCAAAAATCTGGAAACATAAATACCATTTGATCCAGCAATTCCACTATTGGGAATATACTCTAAAGAATAGGGCCGTGACTCAAATAGATGTATGCACACTCATGTTTATTGCCATATTATTCACAATAGCAAAGAGATGGAAGCAACCCAAGTGCCCATCAATAAATGGACAGAAAAACTATAGTACATTCACACAATGAAATATTACGCAGCACTGAAAAACAATAAACTTATAAAACAGTGTACAACATGAGTAAACCTGGAAGGCATTCTGAATGAACTATCTCAGTCACAAAAGGACAAGCACTGCATAACATTCCTGTTATAAAATAGGACTGACATAGGGCTTTGGGGGAAACAGAAAAAGAGTGGATAGATAATGAACACTGCAAAGGGACAGATGAGGGAAAGGACTGTCTGAAAGGAATATGTGATTAGGCATTATATGAATGACAACAATCTGGAACAAGAGGTGCATTACAAAGTGGAAAAGGGGAGGAGGGAAGGAGAAGAAGGGTGAGAAAATGTGAAAAAAACCCCAAGAAAATCAAGTATAAAACAAAAGGAGTATCAAGCATATAGGACTATCTAAAAATACCTGATGGGGCCTTCTTAGCTGTGCCTTTTTGGCTCCTTGAGTTCCTTTGTCCAGCTACTATTGAGTCCTTTTCCAAGAAACCTTGTGGGCCCGTGAGGCTCTCAGCAGGGATGTTTTCTGCGTTCTCCCCCACAGCCACCTCACAGAATGACTGGCAGCTTTCATTATTGTTCAAGCTGTCCTGATCAGACACCTGTGCTCTGCCCATAGCACCATCTCCGCCAGTCAGGCGCTCACGTCCTTCCCCAGCCAGCTGGTTTTCGTTCTCATCTGATACAGCAGGCAAGTTTACCGCTGTCCCCTCCACGCTGCCACCACCTGGACACCCATCTTGCCGTTCTACGTGCAGGTTATATGGAGGGGTTTCACTGTCATCCATTAGAGCATCCTCTGCCGAACCGTTCAAGTGTCATTAAAGTCCTTCTGTGTCTACAATGACAAAAAGGAAAAAAAAGTATTACTTCATTTTCTAAACTCTGCAGATGCTCAATGATCCTTGATTTTCTTTTTCTCTTTGGCTATTTTACTGTAAGCAGAGAAGAAATGACTGAAGCTCATTCCTATTCACCTCTCTCCACTTGCAACCTTACTCCAGCCTCACCTGTCTCCCTCCTCAGTAGCATCACCTGCAGTGCTTGCTCAGTTCCTTCCCCAGACCAATTAAAACAGACTCTCTGGGGAACTGAGAAATATTTTTTCATTCTCCATGTGATTCCGATGTGCATCCAGGCTGGAACCACTGCCTCAGTTTACCAAAATGACCAGCTAATTGAAGTCTTCTGTGAAATCCATCATCACATTGTTACTGGGCACTTTTTTCAGGCATGGGACAGCAGTTAGAGTAATCCTTTTCTGCCACTATAGCAGCAACAGTTGTAAAGCAGAGTTACTGTTTGTTTTTTTTTTTAATTTAGGTTGTTTATTTTTCATTTCACAGTTACTGTTGTTAATACATAGTTTTACATACGTGTCTAACTAGATGGAAGCCTTCTGAATACCTACCACCAACTCATAGGTTACTCTTCACAATATGTAGCCCTGGGTATCATACTCAATAGATACACAGAGGAACCGTTGTGTGCCCTACAGGCAATCCACTCCCATAAAGATTACGCCAAGGAAAACACGGAGACGTTCTACTGGCATACAGTTCAGCCACTAGTCAGAAGAGCAGGGAACTAGCTTTCAACTATTTCTCTCTGAAAAAGAGAAGCTAAGTATAGAAATTGCCATTCACTTCCCTGGCTCTGCTCTGAGGGGTAAAGGGACCTATTACACAATGCTTAGTTTGGATCTGCCTTCCTAATTTAAGCAACGGGATAATTTTCTTAGTGGGATTTCTAATCAGTTCAAATCCACCCACTGCTCCACAAGAGAAAGACGAAGGATTCACCTCCCTTTAAGATTCACAGCCTTGGAGAGCTCTGGTGGCCTAGTGGCAAGAAGCTGCACTGCAATCCCAGAGGTGTGCAGTTCAAATCCACCAGATGCTTTGCTGGAGAAGGAGGGACAATCTCCTCCTGTACCAGTCAGATCTGATTTGACGGTACACACACACAGACACACACAAATAATAAATTTTTTTTTAAAAAAGATTCACAGCCTCAGAACCCTGCTGGAGGGTTGCCCGGTGTCAGAATCAAGCGAACGGCAGAAGGCTTGGTGTCATCTGGATATACTTGGAGTATGCTGTGAGGAAGGGCCAGTCCTTGGACAAAGACATCATGCTGGGAAAGGTGAAGAGTCAGAGAAAGAGAGGAAGACCCACACCAAGACAGACTGACACAGCCACTGTAACAATAGGCATGTTGGAGACAGTGAGCTGTCACAGGATAGGGCAAGGATCGATTGTTCACAAAACTGCTATGGGTTGTAGTAGACTCTATGCACCTAACAACAACATTGCTTTTGGAAGCACTTAATAAGTAAACAGTGCTATTTTTGTCTCTTCCTTCTTTGCCTCCCCCAATAGCATTTCAATATGCTGATTTTCCAGGATACATTAGAAGGCTTCCGGTACAAACAACTATGAGATACCATCTCATCCCAGTCAGAATAGCAAAATTTAACAGAACAGCAAACAACAAATGCTGGCGAAGTTGGGGAGAAGCTGGAACCCTTATTCACTGTTGGTGGAAGTGTAAAATGGTGAAACCACTGTGGAAGGCGGTATGGCACTTTCTCAAAAAGTTGCAAACAGAGATACCAGTATATTTGACCCAGCAATTCCACTACCGGGAATATACCCCAAAGAGACCATAACTGACATCCAAGCGGATATATGCACACCCACGTTTACTGTGACTTTGTTTATAACACAAAGAACTGGAAACAACCCAAGTGTCCACCAACAAATGGATGGACAGAGAAACTCTGGTATATTCACACAGTGGAATAATATGTTTCACTGAAAAACAAGGAACTTATGAAATATTACACAAAATGGGTGACCCTAGAGGACATTATGCTGAGTGAAATATCTCAGTCACAAAAGGACAAATACTGCATAGTGCAACTGTTGTAAAGTGGGACTGATATCAGAGTTGTGGGGAAAACTAAGAGGGGATAAATAATGTATACTGCATTGAAACAGATGAGGGAGAGTACTGTTTAGGAGGAATATATGATTAGGTATTATTGTCATGACAAGAGTCCAGAATGAAACCTGCATATTGGAGGGGGTTGGGGGGTTGGGGTGGGGTGGAGGATTGCATAACAGTGAAAGAGGATTTTTTTTAACTTGTTAAACAGAAAAGCAAACTGGGGGAGGGGTGTGCAACAATAAATGAAATTTAAAAAATATAAAAAATTCAGAGTCTGAAAAAAAAAAAAAAAAGAAGGCTCCCGGGAAAGAAAAACTCAAGAGAAGAAAAAAGTCCAGAATTTTGAAGGTATATATCCCATTTGTGCGGGTCAGAAGCACAATTGAGATCACAGTCAGAAGGAAGTACCTGCTGTATCTCAGCTGTACATCCACCCTATGAGAGTTTCTGGATCTCTATCAACCATCACAAAGAAACAGTGGCACACCACAGTCACCTCTCACAGCGCTGATGTGGGTGCATGCTGCCTTTTAAAAGCAGGAAAGTTAGTGTGACCCAAGTCTCCAGCCTCTTGTGGCAAAATAGCATTCCAAATATGTACACTGTATCAAAGTTATTTGGCATGTTGACTCTGTACTGTTGAAGAATTTCCAGCAAACTTTCAAATTAGGTTTAACCAAAACTTGAAGAAACAAAAAATTTTGAGGAAAGATTATAAATAAACAATTCAGAGCAATAGGCTAACAAAAGTAAATCTACATTTTATAAAAGGCACAGTCTCAATCTCAGATATAATACCCCTTCATGGCTCTCTGATGAAGTGAAACATCAGATGCTACTAAAATAAAAACAATTTAAAAAGATTCAGAAGAGTTGGTGGTACCAGGGATGTCATTGCTGATGTCAGATGGATACTGGCTGAAAGTAAGGAACACCAGAAGAATGTAATTTTGTACTTTGACTATGCAAAGATGTTTGTGCGGATCATGACAAGTTGTCCTGACAATGAAAAGAATGGGAATCCCAGAGCACTTGATTGTGTTCATGCGGAACCTATACCTGGATCAGGAGGCTGTTGTATGAACAGATCAGGGGAGCAATGCATGGTTTGGAAATAAGAAGGGAGTGCATGAGAGTTGTATTCTGACTCCATACCTGTTCAAGCTATATGCTGAGCAAATTATCTGAGAACTTGGACCCGATGAAGAGGAGTGTGGCATAAGGATTGGAGGGAGATTGATTCATCAATAGCTTGTATTATTCAGATAACAACCTTGCCTTCTAAAAGTGAGGAGGACTTGAAGCACTTGTTGCACAAGATCAAGGAATGCAGCCTTCAGTATGGATTGTGTCTCAATATAAAGAAAACAAAGAGCCTTACCATTGGACCAATAAGCAGTGTCATGATGAACTGAGAGGAGACTGAAACTGTCAACAGCTTCATCTTGCTTGGATACACAATTAACACCCCTGGTACAAGCAGTTGGGAAATAAGAAGCCACAATGCACTGGGAAAATCTGCAATTAGGGAGCTTTCCCTATTATTGAGGAGTAGTGATGCATGCAGAGGATATGGGGGGAAAATGCTGAGTTATATGAACTCACTCTAAACATTTGGTTAGGCCAATGTCATAGAAGAGATCATCTGAAAAGTATATTCACATTTTAAAAAACTTTTAAAAATATGATTACTCTGAAAATAAAACTATATATGTGGCTCACCTTGTATTTTTCCTTAACAGTACTACTCTTTAGTTTACATTGCAAAAAGCCAAATCCTCTGCCATCATGTCACTTGCTGCTCCCAGTAACCCCCTATCAGGTTTCTGAAAATCTTCTCAATCTAATGGGAGAAGACAACCTATCTTTCTCCCTCTTAGCTGCTGGTGGATTTGAACTCCTGCCCTTTCAATTAGCAGTCCCACACATTATCCTCTGTGTTACCAGAGCTACTGCTCTATATGAAAGGGTCTTGAACAGGCCTGGGCTCACATCAAATCCTCCTCTGAGATTTATTCTTGTTAATACAAATTGGGCTCTAGGCATTTCTGGCTACAGACATGATTATTCCTATAATTAAATAATGCAAATACTCATTAAAGGAATTACATACTTTATTATTATAAATTTACTTAGTCTGTATTTGAATTTTTTCCAATTTTTGGAATGTAAACCCCAACATTATGCTGTTCCTTTATTTTAGTACTCCTGTGTATTAAAAATACTTTCTAACACTGGGTAGTGATTATAACTAATAAGGTTAATATTTCTAAACATTTAGGTCTATTTTCTATATATTAATGTGGAACAAAAGTAAATCAAATTTTTAAACTATTCAATGAGAATTTTTTCAAGGCACAATTTTATAAGAAATCAGAAGTGTTGGTGTGTCTGATCCCTGCACCCTGAGGCACTGGAATCATCTTGGCCCCTGTGCCCAAGAAGCTGATGATGATGGCTAGAATTCATGACTGCTATACCTCAGCCAGGGGTTACCCTGGGTAACTTGGCCAAGGCCACCTTTGATGCCACCTCCAACACCTACAGCTACGTGACCCCAGATCTCTGGAAAGAGACTGTATTCCTCATGTCTCCCTGCCAGGAATTTACTATCTTGTAAAGAGTCACACCAGAGCCTCTGTGCAAAGGACCCAGGCTCCAGCTGTGACCACCACATAGTGGATTTTGTATAACAAATAAAGTGAATTAAATTTAAAAAAAATCAAAACTTGATCTCTTAATACAAAAAAAAAAAGTTAGATATGGAAGAAAAACCTCACCCATCAAGTGAGCAAGGAAGATAAAAATATGACATGCACAACAAAGTCGCAAGAATAAAAACGAGGAAATAAATAATTGATCAGAGTCAATAATTGATGGTTCTAAGGGAGAAAAGTCTTCTACATGGACTTAACTTATGCAGACAAAGCACTCTTAAAAACATGAAGATGTAAACTGACACTATGTGACTCATTCGCCTGAAGCAACCTTGGGGCAGATAAGCTGGATGAATGCAAGCACAATTTGTTCCCTTTCTCTCAGGCCTCCTCAGTCCCAAATAGCTTACACATCCAGAGAGGTTTTGTGTGCAAAGTCCACAACATGAATGGAAGGTGACAATTTAAAAGCCTGGGCAGAAACAAGCAATGCGAAAACCGTCTCTCCTTCTCATATAGCCTTAAAAGTAAAGAAACAACATGGAAGCAGCGGCAACTCAAGGGCAAATTCAGACAAGCAAAACCACGTCACTTTGCCAAGAATTGCTAACTGGTTTGTTGTTTTGGTTGAATTTCTCCGCCCTGCCGCCCCCAGCCACGACCAAAACATCATTCATTAAATAGAAATTTTGCTGAAACTTCATTAAATCTGAAGTTACTGAATTTATGCTGCCAACTGACCCCAAAACTTATTTATCATTTGAAGACAGAGGTGGGCAAATCAAAGCACAGTAATCAGTAGCAACACATGCATATTCTTGAATTAGTTTCACAGTGTTAATAACACACACACCCAGAAGCCATTTAAGAGAAGGAATCGTTTCTCCACTGCCAGTGGACTGGCTCCCACTCATAGCAGCCCTCCGCCAGGTTTTCCAACTCTGTGTCTCTTCACTGGAGGAGAGTGGCCACCCTCCCCATGCAGAGCCATGGGTGGATCAGCCTGTGGACCTTTGAGGCCCAACACCTGGCACATTACACCACCGGGGCTCCTCAGGCCCACAGACAGGTTTATTTGGTGGTAGATTCTGAGTTGTAAAACAATCTACATTTGGAAGCTACAATTGGTAGATACCACAAACTCCAACCAACATATGCAAAAATAAACATTAAAAAAAAATACGAGCTCTGTTTTGGGCAAAGACAGGCCAGCTCATTTTGGACAAATCTCCCACTGGTAACTACTGGCAGAAGCCTAAACTTTAGGGGCCCACGAGCTAGCACGGTTCTGGGTAAACTAACGGACACAAAGGAAAAGAGAGCAAGTGGAAAATGAGCTCAGGACATATCAGGAGAGGGAGGCTTGGAACGTTCCTAAAAAATGCCACTCTCCACAAGAAAAGTGGGCCTGCTGAAGTATGTCAGCCATCAAAGGGGCACAATCATCTTAAAGATTTAGGGTGATCTGCCCTCAGCACAGTTGTCTACCAGAAGCATAAGGTCATTCTCTATGAAAGAAGAATTCAAAGATCCAAATCACATTCACATTTTATCTGTAGTGTCCAGTACCAACCCATAAGAACCCAATGCACAACAGATCAAACTGTGACAAAGAGCCAGGGGACAGGCAGTCCAATAAACTCACAGGAAATCCATATACTGGAGACAGCATCCTTACAGATTAAAATATGACAACAAACAAATGAATATTCTACAACTAAAAAGTCAAGTGTAACATTTCTTAAATTCCTAAAAAAAGGCATTGGGAAAGTCGGCAGTCAGGGACCTCTCCAGAGTACTGAAAAGCAATGATGTCAGTGTGAAGACTAAGGTGTGCCTGATCCAGGCCACAGTCTTTACACTTACTTGCTATACATTAGACAATGACTAGGAATGACAGAAGGAGTGTTGATGCCTTTGAGCTGTGGTTTTGGAGAAGAGTATTGAATATACCATGGACACCTAGGAGAACAAACAGGTTTGTCCTAGAGAGGGTGAAACCAGGCTGCTCCTTGGAAGCAAGGATTCTGAGGCTTTGTCTGACATACTTTGGGCATACTGCAAGGAGGGACAAGTCCTTGGAGAGGGACAGTGCAAGAGAGGAAGACCCTCAATGAGATGGATTGATTCAGTGACTGGGGTAATGAGAGTGAGTGTGTCAGAGACAATAAGGTTGGCACAGGACAGAGCAGGGTTTAGGACTGTTGTGCATAGGATCACTATGAGTCGCAAGCAACTTGACGGCATATAACAACAAACAGCAACAAAATATTTTAGAACAATTAATATAAAATATATAATTATTTTAAGAGTCTAATAATTTCTAATTAAAATCTTATTAGCCTTTTTAATTTTAAAAAGCCACTTCATATAAATGACATATTAAAAATGGGTTTTTAGAGGCAGCAAAATGCAGGGGAGAGATTGCCCGGTTTTCTCCCTTGAAGTACTGGGCAATCTCCTCCCGTTTGCTTTAAAGTCTCTGAAAACCTGCTAGAGGGTCCACTATGAGTCAGTCTGGCCTCAGTGACATTAAAACAACAACACAGGATCTTTGCTAAGGGCCCACTGATATAATTAGTATAAATTTGGTTTCTTTCTAGTTGGTTATAGATATTATCTTCAAATTAATACATGATACAAATAAATGATAAAATAGCAGTTGGCAGGAGACTCTTGTACCATAACCTCAAACATGATTCCAAGGTTACCAAGAGCTGTATTGGAATGTTCTCATTGTAACTGAGATCTCAACTTTAGTTGTCATCTGCACTCCTGTTCTTTACCCTGTCAGCTCTGCCATACTTCTTTCTTCTTTTTAAGTGAAAACTGAATAAAATTTCTAAAATCAATTTTAGAAATCTGAATGAACCCTAATATTTTTACATGAATTCTAATTTAAAAAGTGAATTCTTGAAATTCCAACATAGGCTGCATTGCACTCAAATAAAGGTGTGCTAGTGGTGCTTTTCAGAGGGTTTTCAGGAGCTTTCTCAGGAGTTTTCCAGGCTTATGAGTTTTCTGGAGCATCAAGAAGCCAAAACAAAGGGAAAACAAGCTGAAGGAAAAGAGCTGAACAAAAGATTTCAAAGGGCAGCTCAAGAGAGCAAAGCAAAACATATTATAATGGAATGTGCAGAGAGCTGGAATTGTGGAGAATAAAAAGGGAAGAATTCACTCTGCATTTCTCAAGCTGAGAGAACTGAAAAACAAATTTAAACCTCGAATCAAAATACTGAAAGATGCTATGGGCAATATATTCAACGACCCAGAAAACATCAAAAGAAGATGATGAGAATACACAGAATCACTGTACCAAAAAGAGCTGATTGACACAAGAGACCATGGCCCTAGGGATATCATTGCTGATGTCAGATGGATGGATCCTGGCTGAAAGGAAAGAATACCAGAAGAATATCTATTTGTGCTTTCTTGACTATGCAAAGGCATTTGCCTGAGTGGATTATAACAAGTTGCGGCTGACATTGAGAATGGGAA